GGAGTTCCTGCAGGGAGGAGCCCTCACAGACATCGTCTCCCAAGTCAGGTGGGCAGCTGGGAGGGCTTGGCCCTGAGTGCACGCTGCACTCACCGTGGCCCTGCCAGGGCAATGTGGTCTTCTGCCTGTAGCCCAAAAGACTTGGGATGCCTGTCAGGTCATCCTGGGTTCCCCTGCCTGTTGGGATAACTGACACCCAGGAGTCTTGGCAATGGAAAAGAGAAGGGTGGCTTCCAGGCTTCCAGCCAAGGCTCAGGCCCCAGTTTTCATCAGGGCTATGGCCTGACTATGCTGCCAAACAGACTGCCTGGAAGCCGTGGGCCCCAGCACCAGGGACTCCTACTCTGCCCATCCACCCCACAACCTGCCAGAGCTAATGATCTCTTCCACCGGGCGGCCCCACCTTTTTGTCCAGGCTGAATGAAGAGCAGATCGCCACTGTGTGTGAGGCTGTGCTGCAGGCCCTGGCCTACCTGCATGCCCAGGGCGTCATCCACCGGGACATCAAGAGTGACTCCATCTTGCTGACCCTCGATGGCAGGGTAGGTCCCTTCCTGTTCCCGGCACAGCCACACCCCCACTTCCCTCCTCCTGGTCACCACTCACTCCCTTTCCAACCCCAGGTGAAGCTCTCGGACTTCGGATTCTGTGCTCAGATCAGCAAAGACGTCCCTAAGAGGAAGTCCCTGGTAGGAACCCCCTACTGGATGGCTCCTGAAGTGATCTCCAGGTCTTTGTATGCCACTGAGGTAACCGTTCCTCTGCTTCCCCACCCCAGGCCTCCCAAAAGCACTGGCAGCTCTTCCACTGTGGCCCCTCCAATGATCTCGCCAAAAGCAGCCCTGGTCCTCAGAGTCCCACCAGGTCAACACCCTCCCTGCTGCAGTGAGGCTGCCCTCACCCATGACTGTGCTGCCAGGAACGAGTCCTGCAAGTGCTTTCCTCAGCTCAAGGGCAGAATGGGGCATGGCCAGGCATCCCATGGGTGATGGCCTTTCTCTGAATGACTGACAGCTGTACCCCTATAGGCAGTGGTCACTCATGCAGGCAGGAACTGGCCACAGGGCAGGTGACTAGGGGAGAAGGGAGTCAGGCTCACCAAGGAGAACTGGGGCCAACTGTCCCCTGTCCTCCCCCTGCTGCCACCAGCACATGGCCACCAAGGGACCAGGCTCTGGCCATGGGATCAGGGACATTTTCTTCCTGCAGGTGGATATCTGGTCTCTGGGCATCATGGTGATTGAGATGGTGGATGGGGAGCCACCCTACTTCAGCGACTCCCCAGTGCAAGCCATGAAGAGGCTCCGGGACTGTCCCCCGCCCAAGCTGAAAAACTCTCACAAGGTCAGTTGGTGCACAAGGGTATGACCTCACAGACCCCATTCCTCCTGAGGCGAGAGGACCAAAGCCTAGACTCCCAGCCTCTCCCATCCACAGAAGCCACAGGGTCTGGGCTCCTGGAAAAGGCTCCTCTTTCTCCACACAAAACCTGCACCTGGGTGTGGAGCTGCATCTACGCACAAACTCTCATGTGTGCTCCAGCAAGTCTCCTCCCATGGCTGCAGCAGGAGGGTCGCTGCTCCGCAGGCATTGGTCGGAAGCCCAGGGATGCCCATGAGCAGGGAAAGCTAGGACACCAGCAATCCCTGCTGTCCCGGGAGGAATCCGGAGAAGCTTCACTGAGCACAAATTCCTCCACCCCATGTGTTGGGAGATCCATACCATGATGCAACGTCCCTGTCCATCACGGCAAGTCAGCTCATGCTCCATCGCTGCATACGCCGACACAACTGAGCCACAGCGTTCCCCTTAAACCCAGTATACTCACACATGGATTCGTATACATGTAACCCTTTTTGCCAAATTCCCCCAACCTCACAGGCCTTACTGTGGACGCCCCCTGCTGGCCGGTCAGCACAGGGCTGCTAGGTGGCACTGCCATCTGGTGGCCAAAGCAAGAAATGTCTCAGAGGGTTGAAACCTCACCTCTAAATAGCAAAAAAAAGTTCTGTGGCCCCAACACACAGCTGGATGGGAGAACCAACAGGAAACATCTTGCAAGACAACTGGTCCTTGAAGCCTGCACCGCTAACCCCAGAATTAGCATACAGAGATCCCCAGTTGGCTAATTCCCCAGAGGATGCAGCCTTCTGCCCAAGACTCAGCCTCATCCCAAGATACTGGCTCAAAATGAACCAAGATAAGCCCTTGCCTTAGACTCTAAGGCCTAGAGGAGCACTTCCTCATCCTTGACCTGTTTTTAAAATCTTCTTTAAAGCCCTATGTGGCAGACAGGGCAAGCATACTTTATCACTAGCCCATTTTACAGTTGAGAAAACTGAAGCCTAGAGAAAACTGACTTGCCTGAGATCAGGGATAGAGTCAGGCCTGGATCACTGATGTGAATTCTCTGTCCCTTCCAGACAGAGCTACAGCATCTGAATGCTGAGAGCCTTGGGGGTTGGGGAGGGGCAAGAGGACAGAAAAAAACAAAAAACAAAAAACACAGAATTTAAGACTTTCTTTCAATCAATGACAGGGCCAGGCAAACAAGTCATCCCAAAGTGACTGCAAATTGTGGCTCCATCTCACTGCCCTGTCTCCACAGGTCTCCCCCATGCTTCGAGACTTCCTGGAGCGGATGCTGGTGCGGGACCCCCAAGAGAGAGCCACAGCCCAGGAGCTCCTAGACCACCCCTTCCTGCTGCAGACAGGGCTGCCCGAGTGCCTGGTGCCCCTGATCCAGCTCTACCGCAAGCAGACCTCCACCTGCTGAGCCTACCCTGAGTACGCCTGCCACCTGTGCCCACAGGCAGGGCACACTGGGCAGCCGGCCTGCCAGCAGGGCTTGCCTGCCTCGTTTTCTCAGTATTCTCTCCAAAGATTGAAATGTGAAGCCCCAGCCCCACCCTCTGCTCCTCAGCCTACTGGGCCAGGCCGGACCTGCCCCCTCAGTGTCTCTCCCTCCCAAATCCCCAGGTGAAGACCCCTTCCACAGGATGACCCCTTGGTATTTGCACAGGGATATTTCTAAGAAACGCAGAGGCCAGCATTCCTGGCCCCTGCAGCCCACACAGCAGAAAAGGCTGCTGAGGTTTTTTATAGGTAGTTGTACACTAGCATCCTAGGCCACTGCGGAGGCTGGACTGCTGGTCTCCATACAGATACTTGCTGTTCCGTGTTTGAAGCTCCAGCTTCAAACCATGGGTCTTGAGAGGGCCACAGCAATGGTTTTCATGACCTGAACCCGCTTCCTCCCTTGTGTCTGATGTCCTGAAGGCACAGTCCCACCTGCACTGCCCCTTGTGGCCCAGAACTGTGAATAGCCTGCTTCAGGCCATGGCTGGGGGTGGGGATTGAGGGGGCAAGTGGTGAAGGTGCTCTCACTTTACAGAATGGAGAGAACGTGTGTGTGTGTGTGTCTGTCTGTCTGACAGCCCGGGTCCCTTCAGGTCACCCACAGCCAGCTCCAGGAAGGCTGCCCCATCCACTCTCCCACTAAGTTCTGGCCTGAAGGGACTTGCTTTCTTGGCCTGGCTTCCACCTCTCCAGTCCAGTGTCAACCCGACCAGTGGTGTGATCCATAGTGAGTCCAACATATCCTGGGGGCTTGGGAGGTTTCTGAGCATCTCCTGGACTGTGCAGTGTGAGGGCCAGAGACAGGAATGTAAGGAATGGTAACTGTTTTACCTTTCAAGTTTATCTCAATCACAAGGTCATCAGGGACCCATTGTTCTCTTCAGAACCCTGTCTGGGAGAGAAGGTGAACCGCCTCTGGGTTTCCGTCGTCATGTCAAGGTCACGGTCACGAGTGCCCATTTGTGCAAACCATCTGCCCCGGCTGCCTCCACAGACAGCTGTCTCCTTGTCCTCCTCCACCCCCAATTTCAGGGCTGCTGTGAGATGGTAATTCTGGGAAAGAACTTCAGGTGTCTGGACCCTTTCTATCTAGATAATATTTTTAGATTCTTCTGCTCCCTTAGTGACTTTCCTGGGGGCAAAGAAATTGCAAGGACTTTTTTTTAAGGGTCAGAGTTTTCAAAACAAAAGCATCTTCCCTAGAAATTTTTGTGAATTGTTTGCACTTGTGCCTGTTTTAAATTAACTTGAGTGTTCAAAGCCACTGAGCATCCTGTGTCTCTGGGAGTGGAGCCTGGCCGTCTTGGAGAGGCGGCGCCTGGGGTGGGCGAGTCTCGTGTAGCCTCTCTTCCTCCCCACGTGAGGGCTCCAGCGGCCACCCCGCAGAACACCCAACTCTTCCCTGGTGGCCTGTGGGCCCAAAAGGAAGGCAGAGAGGAAGGGAAACAGGAAGGCAAAGACCCTTGGGAATGTAGGAATGAAAAGTAGACGAGGTTTCTTCCCAGGGGAGAAGAGCCCACGGGAAAAGCCCGGGCCCTGCACTGCTGCTTCTGGGGGCTTCTGGGGGTGGCTTCTGGGGGAAGCACCCTGCATGTCGGCTTCTCCCATCCTCTGTGCACTTCTCACCCCCACGCCGGACCTCAAGCCGTCCAGATGAAGTGGTCTGAAACTTCTTCCGGTGAGAGCCATCCCTGTTTCACTCCTCAGGACTGAGGGAGATGGCACAGAGTTGAGAAAGAATGGAGCAGTGCCTGGAAACTAGGCAGCCTGGGCTCTCGTCCTGAGGGTGGGGAGGTGGATGAAATTATCTTGCAGCTTCCAGCTCCCACACAGATTCCCGCATTTCCTTCCTGAGATCTCCTCACTGCCCAGGGTTCAGAAGCAAGCCAGGAGCAGCCACACAGCCTTTCCTTCACTCCCCAGTGCATTCATACCTGACAGGTGCCCTGGTGCTGCCCAGCTGCCAGCTCAGCACAGCTGAGGTGCTGACCTGTGACTTATCTTCCAGAGCCAGCACAGTGGGACGCGGGCAGGGCAGAGGCTCACTAAGGCAGGAACCTCCACAGGAGGCAAGGGCTCTGTCCATCTCTCCAAAGGGAGCCCTTTGGAGGGTCAGGAGTACTTGATAAGGCAGAGGCCAGTTCTCGCAATGGAATAATACTGGATTTATTAACTATTCTTTGAGTTCTAACAGTCCTTCCACCACACAATATCACTCTGAAAGGGTGTGCGTTTGTCCCACAGCTCACACACAGACCGGTTCTGACCTCAGGGTACCGAGCGCCAGCGTCCCGGGTGACTCTTCACAATGACAAAAGCAACAAGAATTGGAAAAGCAAAAGATTTAGAAAAGTCTCTTCTGAAGGTAGAGATTGCTAGAGAGGACCCAGCCTCAACTGGGGCTGACAAAGGAGCGAGTTCAGGGGAGCGAAATGTGAAGAGTGGAAGGTCTGCATGGAGCCGGGCCTGGAAGGAGTGTACGGACAGCAGGGCAGTTAGACACATGATTCGGTTCACACAGGAACGAGCTGCTGCAGTCTTTAGAAACATCGCTTTCTACCACCAAGCTCTCCACAGCTCCACAGAGAAGAGCCCTCATGGTGGTTTATCCAGTGTAGAGGGCCCAGGGCGACATTGAAACAAAAAGCCACATATCAGAGATACTGGAAAGATTGCAGCACCTCCGATACAATGTGCAACCCAGACTGCATGCTGTTGAGCCAAAACACTTGGATTCCTACACCACTAACAACGTCATTACAATTAAACACAGTTGAATAGCGAGTACATGAGCAAGCAAGGGTCAGAAAGCAGCAGTTTGCACTTGGGGTGTCCAGTGTCCCCACCCACCCCAGACCCACTCCCTCACGCTTTTCAGGCACTTGGTATTGTGCACCCACCACCCAGACGGGGGGACTGAGGAGAGACATTTGTTTTGGGACAAGAGGGGAGGAGGGAGTGGGCAGAATACCTCAGAAATGAAAGCAATATCAGAAGAAAACAACTGCCTAATCAGCAGGTCCCAAGGTTCAGAATCATAAGGGAAGGGTTGGCGGCTCCACCTTTGCGGAAAAGAGCAGAACCTCTCAGGACACGCAGCCTTAACTTGGAAGATTTCACTTGGGGTCCTTAGTGAAGGGTCTGGGCTCCTGCTACTCTCAGTGCGAGTTTTTTGTTCATTGTCCCTCACTTCACTGCTGTGAACTGACTTCAAGTATCCGGATTTGATATTCTACAAGATGAAGAGGATTCCACGGTAAATGTACACGGAGGGAGAAGTACACAGCGGCGATCCCAAGAAAAGCAGGTGTCTGAGCTCCGAGCCGGGGCGCAGCGGGGAGAGCGCAGCGGTGCCACCAGGGGGCACCAGAGATCACGTCCTCCAGTGCGCCGGCCTGCTTGGGACAGCGGGTGGGGTCACCAGGGTGCAAGGACTGGGGAGGTGTCCTTACACCTCCACGAGGCCCACTCCTGACCACCCACCCCTTACCGCCAGGCCCAATATCTCGCACGGTCATTCTCACTCTGGGCGGTTCCCTGGGAGTTACTGGCGAGAAACCTTCCGTACTGCAAAAGCGAACAGATAGGTCGACGTCTTGGAAAGACCTCCACCGCAGGCAGGTGAAAAGCGTCAAGTCCCACCCTTGTGGTTCACAAAAGAGCCCCACTTGCCGCCTCCCTGCGGGCCGGGCGCAAAGACTAGCGCGCGAGCACTCCCTCAGGGTCCTAGCGCACGCGCCCCGCCGGACACGGTTCCCCCAACCCCGCCGCCAGGCTAGGCCAGCACGGGGCAGGATGGCAGGGGCGAGCGGGCAGGAGACAAAGGACCAACCCGGGAAAGGGCCTCTGACTCACTCATCTGCCCAGTAATAAACCTGGGCCGGGCCTCCGTCCCACAAGGTGGGGCCAAGGCAGGAGTCCGGGTTCTTGATCTCCAGCATCTATCATGCGCTCCATTAACTGCCCAGCGAGAAGAAGGAGCCGTTTAATAGACCCCTTGCAGCTCTCGCCAGAGTTTGATGTAATTTAAACCTGGACCTGCGGCTCATGTGGGCTCCCGACTCCCGCGCGCCGCTGTTTCACGTTGCAAACACTTCAGTCAATTATCCCCCTCGCGGAGCTTCTATTTAAAGAGATATTGTCAGCTCTTAAGCCTCAGAATCAGACCCGCTGCTTCCTGCTTCACATACAAAGGCTTAAAACACGAGTTCCTTGAGGATTGGAAGAAATACAATTAAGCACAGCCTTCGCAACTGTTCCACCCCGCGGGGGGCACCCACGTGCGGGACGGGGGAGCTGGAGGCGTGGAGGACGGGAAGTGCTCAGTCCTTTGCATTTCAGGCCTCTGTGAGCCAGCGGAAATAGGGCTTGGGCCTCCAGGGGCGAGGTATTGAACCTTGATGATGGAATTCAAATGAATAGAAGCTGAAGAGCAGACTGGCTCAGGAGCCCGGAGCGGGCCTAGGTAGGGGTTGTGTGCTGAATCCTGGGGCAGAGACAGTGAGCTGGAGTTACCCAGGAGCTGATTCAAGGGACAAATGGTGTTCAACACTAGGGACTCTCCCACTCCCCAAACGTGCTTTCATTGTTTCGAGGTTTCTGCCCTAGGAAAACCTAACAGCCAGACTCCGTCCTCCTCAGCTCTCCAGTACACAAAGACTCTAGGGCCCCCTGGGTCCTTTCCTCCTCTCACACTTTGAGGGAAAGGGAACTTTGGTAGTTTGTGGCATTATTGTCAGCATCACTAGTCAGAGTGGGGAGGCTGGGTCTTTATTCTTCAAGTTGGACCCGTCTATTTGCCTCGCTGGCCACTGGCCGGGTGTTGGGAAACCCAGCGAGGGGAGGGTGGGCGGAAAGGAGCAGCGGGTGGCTGAGGGCTGGGGAGGGGTATCCACCTTCCTGGCTGGTAGGCTATGGAACCAGTCATCAAAACCTCTAGACCCAGGCAAGGAATACCGAGGGGCATAAAAAAGAAGATGGAGGTCCCTTATTTCTGGTGGAGGGCTGGTGAAGGTCTCGCCTTGGCAGGGAGACAGCCCAAAATGGGCTGCAGGGAAGTGGGGCGGCTGCCAAAAAGGTGAGGGACCTAGAGTGGAGAAATACCAGTGGAGTACAGACGAGAGGGTGAGAGAAGCAGGCCTGAGGCTCGGCACCGCTTACCGCTGAGCACGCAGCGCCACAGCCTCGGTGCCCGCCTGCCATGGGTTCGGCCCAGGCACGGAGACAGGCAGAGCGTTGACCTCTACCTCTGGGCCACTCTCGGGCCCTGGAGCCTCCCCGACCAGGCTGGGGATATCTGGGGCTGTAGAGCGACGGCGCAAACCCAGGCGGCTAGAGCCGGGGCCGCCCTCCGGGTGGGGGCTGAGGCCAATGGGGGCTTGCACTAAGGTTGGGGGCACTCCCTCCAGCACCTCCTGTGAGCGCCACCGCCCAGTCCCCGAAGACTGGGGCGAGTTTGGTCGGGTCATCAGGGCCCCAGCCCGCAGGCGGGCCGCCTCCTCCTCGGTCACCGCACCCAGTGCCAGGCTCATGCTCCGACCCAGCTCAGGTCGTTCACTGCCCTGCGCCCGGTGTCGGCCGGAATTCTTGCCCGCTGAGCCAGCCTCGCCGCCGTGGCCGTGGCCGTGGCCGCCCGCCGCTCGCGCAAAGCGCGCCAGGAGAGGCCGCGGTAGGCGGCGGGGGCTGGGTCGTCGACGCTCGGGGCTGGGCGCAGGGGCCGGGCGGCCAGGGGGACTGTCGGAGTTGGAGCCCCGGGCCGCAGCGGCGGCGGCGGCGCGGCCCCAGGGCCCCGTGAGTGCCTGCACACAGGTCCCGTGGCCGCGGGAGGCAGCCAGCTGCAGCGCGGTGAGCCCCGCACGGTTGGTGCGGTCGAGGCGCAGGCCCAGGCGGCGAAAGGAGCGTACCAGGAACTCGAGCACCGCCCCGTGGCCGCAGGCCGCCGCCCACATCACTGGGCTGTTGCCCGCCGAGTCGGCCGCCTCAGGGTCACCGCTGAACTGAACCAGCAGCTGCACGGCGTCCAGGTGGCCTCGCTCGCACGCCAGGCTGAGTGCGGTGCGGCCGCGCTCGTCTCGCAGGTTCACTGCAGCACCCTGCTCGAGCAGCAGCCGCACGAAGCGCGCACGCAGCGCTGGGTCCGGCAGCCCCACGGCCACCATGAGCGGCGTGCGGCCCTGCTCCGCGCGGCAGTCGATGATGCTGCGGTCCAGCGCATCCAACACGAAGCGGGCCAAGTGCACTTTGCCCGCTTGCATGGCCTCCAGGAAGGTGCGCGTCCCCGCTCGGGGGCACAGGTCCTTGGGCTTGAGCATGGCCCCGGCCGCCGCGCCCGGGCAGCCTGGCAGCTCCGCACGGGGGCGCCCCTGTTCTCGCGCCCCGTGGGGCTCCGGCCTCCGCCCGCGCTCCTGTACCTCTCCCTCCGCGCGTGGACGACTGCAGCCGAGGGTCCCGAGGGTCCTTCTCCGGTCGCCCGGAGGTTCCGGCGGCCCCGCCGCTCCTGGGCCGCACGCCTGGCGTCTCGCCGCTGTTTCCCCGGGGCTCCCGCGTGGAGGTGTTGATTGCTCGCTACTCCGGGCTCCACTCCTGGCCCGCCACGAGACGTCGGGAGCCGAGGCTCTACCCTCTCCCGAGCTCCCGCCGCTTTCCCCTTGTCCGGTGCCCCTCAGTCCTCGTGGTTTGGAGCCGAGCCACTCACCGGCACCCAGGGCAGCCCCCGCTCCCCCGCAGCGACGGTGGCGCCCGCGGTGCACGCCTGCCTCCAGCCCTGGAGGGGCGCGCCGCTTCTCAAGCTGCTGGCGCCGTTCCTCCGCCTCCTCCCCTCTCGCGGGGGCCGGGCCACGCCGGGGCGCTTGCTCCTTCCTTGGGGGCCTCAGCGGCGCGGGAGCCGCCGCCCGCCTAGATACCTGGCTTTATAGTCTCGGGGGTCTCCATGGCAATGACTGCGCTGGAAGCGGGCTGCACCGTCAGGGCAGAGACGGACGGGGCGGGGGAGACCGCCCCTGACCCCCACCCCTTCGTGGGCCACGAAGTCGGGGAGCGGCTCCTCCTCCGCGCTCCCCAGGGAATGCGGCGGCGGTTGCGGGGCGGGGGCGGGGGCTGCTTGCAGGGGGCCACATGCACCCGACCCGGCCAATCCCAAAGTCGCAGTCTTCTCTCCCCGCCCTCCGCCCCCATCCGAGTCGTTGCCCTCCGCTCCTTAGAAACTGGCGGGACCTCGGGCTCGTCGGGGAAGACCCAGAGCTGCCCACAGCAGTCCAGGGTGAAAGGAAGTGGGACCGCATGAGCGCAGAACAGGACCACGTGCGAGCTAGGGGTGGCAGGGAAAGGCGGTTGAGGAGTAATTTGGGGGAGGGGGTATACGTGCCGCGGGTTGGGGCGCTCAGCCTGGCTGGGAACTGCCACTCGAAGTGCAGCGAATCACGCACTCACACACAATTGTTCCTCCCGACACGCTCCCTCGGAGCGAGGGGTGGGGGCCGAGTGCGCGCTCCAATCTCAGACGTCTTCAACCCCAACAACGAGCCCGCTTGCCAGCTTCCGGCGGCTGCTGAGCGAGCAGAGTGCAGACACCGAGACCAGAAAGGGGCACCTTAGGACCCGGGAATGCCGCGGACATATTAGCAGTTCCGTGGCCCTGCCACCCTGGAAAGAGCTAGGGATCCACGCAAGCTCCCTGCCCCTTGCTTCTCCCTTGAGCACAAAGCAACCCCCAGGCCACAGGGTTCTGGTCCTGACCACTGGCAGGCCCCTAAGGAGAGGAGGCGAGCTCGAGTTCCATTTTCCATAAGATGCGTGGAGGAACCACCGCATCTCCTCTCCCTCCTGCCAGCAGGCCCCACTCGGTCCTGGAGGAGGGGGGATGATACACAGGCCTGGGTGTGGGTGGTGGGGAGGGAGTGAGTAGGGTTGGAATGGATATTTGTAAAGTAAGGAGTGAAGCAGGTATCAGCTGCAGAATTTACTGAGACTCTTCATGAGCTTTTTGTTGCCAGCAGCGGGAAAGAGAGAGGCATAAACTCGATTCTAGATGGAAGACACTCCCCCTCCTAAGACAACACTGGGACATAAAAAGTGGAGGTTGTCACCTGAGGGGTGAATACATCTGCTAAATACAGACCAACACAGTCCTTTGATGAAAAGATGGAGTTGTGTGGGGAGAGGGCTCCGGAGCCTTTTAAAGATAGGACTTCAAGGATATGCAGGGTCTGGCTGCTGAAGAAGGAATTTCAGACGAGTTCTGGAGGCAAAGGCTTGGAAGCAGGATAAACCTTAGGGGACGCTGTTGAGGGCTCCTATAAGAGGTCCTTCCTATCAGAGATAGAAAATAAGGGAAGAATGATGGTGTTCTCGGCCTGGGCAGATGCTTTGCAGTAGGAGATGCTGGGGAAAGGTATTGAGCACAGATGGGCGTGGTAAAGTGGGCTCATGGCCCTGCACCCTGAGCCCCTTGCCTCTCTCCAGTTTCCAGGCTCCAGGGATGTCTACCTTGAATTTGGCGACCAGGACCTGGAGCAGAGGCTCCCACTCCCCTCTATCATGTGAGGAGCATGTGATGTGTACCTGCACCCACTGCGAAGCCCTTGGTCAGGGCTCTGCCAATTTTCTTTCCTGGTGTCATAGAAAGGCCACAGATCAGACCTCAGAGTTAAGTCCCGTCTTGAAGTCATTTACTAGCAGTGTGGCTCCCAGCCTGCATATTTTCATCTGCAAAATGAGACTGATAAAGACCAGCCCTGCCTGCTTCACACAGGATCAAGTCAGAGTGTCAGGGAAAGAGTTGCACAATTACTTCATTTTTTTGTTGTGTTGTGTTTTGTTCTGGAGCTGCATAGTTATTTCGAGTGCAGTCCTCAAAGCTGCTCCCACCCCCAGAGCTAGGGCCCCCTTCTGGGGTGGCCCCAGGAATGGGCAGAGACTGTCCACCCCCGGTAATTGGACAGGAATGCTCTCCCTCTTTACTTAGCAGAAGGCTTTTCTTCCCTTTATGACTCAATTTCTCTTTTCAGCAGTGTGAGGAAAATTGCTTTCTTCCCTTCTATTTCCAAGGTCAGGGTAGGGAGGACATCTGGAAACTGTGTGACAAGCCAAGCCTTGCACCCCCCAAGTGGAGGAGAGAAGCAGCAGAAACCCAGAATGGGCACTTTCTTGGTCCTGAAGAGCCCCTCCTCCCTGAGACAACTTCATTTCTGTCCCTGTTCCCCCATGGTAGATTGAGACAGTTCCAGGGAGGAAGACTTGGGTCAGAAAGTGCTGTGCTGGGTACCCTTTAGAAGGAGCAGTTGGTTCCCATGGCAGGAAGTGGGGTGGTGCCAAGTGTTGGGCCCTGGAGCCTTTGCTCTGACTTCCCTATGGGCTCAGTATGTTCTGAACAGAAAAGACACGGCAAAGCTGAAAAAAAACTGAGACTTTGCTGCAGAGCACAGAGGCACCAACAGCCGGAATTAGAAGCTGTCGCTTAGACAGCTGAAGGTTGACAGGAGATGGAGCCCAGGCAGCAGGGGGCAGACAGGCTCGTCCTACTCCCCTCCCCTCCTGTTCCACCGGCTGGGCCTGTCCCCCAGGAGGCCCCAGGCTGGCAAAATGCTCCCTCCCCGAGATGCCTCATTGTGGTCTGTCTGCAACTGCCTCTCTCCCGGGCCCTTTCTTTCCTCCAGTGTCACCAGCCCCCTCACCATGTCACGTTGCACCAGCTCAGCAGGGTTGGGCCCAGTGGCACGTGTCTGGGAGATCCAGAGGGCTGCTCAGGGGATACAGGGGGCGGGTGAGTCAGCAGAGGACTGGAGTCTGAGTCAGCAAAGGGACTGGGAAAGGGGTAAGGACCCTTCTCTTTGTGCAAAAGGTGAAACTGAGGCATGACGGGTGGAAAGCGAACCTTGCCCCGGTCCCATACATTCACAGCAGGGGTGGAACTCAGGTGTTCTTCACCTGCCCCAGTGCCCAAAGGGAGGACGCCAACTCTTCCTCTGTACATCCCCTGTAGCCAGAGACTAATTCATCTCCAGGGCCCAGAGATGATATTTGCCCGAGGGACACCTTGCCTTTTTGGGAGGAAAGCAGGGGTGTGGGTATCCAGGCCTGGCCACATGGGAAGGCCCCAGTCTGCTGTGCAGAAGCCTCTCTGTGCAGAAGGCAGGGGCAGGATTGCATTGCCTTCCCCATTCATTCCTGGGCTACCCAGCTCCAGATGGGGAGCCCAGAGACTGCATCAGCAGCAAAAGCTGGGGGTTGCCCAGTGGGCTCCACTGGGCTCTAGCTCTGGCTTATGTGCAGGTGCCTGGGGCCGTGAGTTCCTCTAGGCCTGAATCTTCACCTTTACAGTCCAGTGCCCAGCAGAAGGGTTGAAGACAGGGCACTGCCCTGGGGTGTAGGTGTTATGCCCCGGTGTGTCCAGTCTGTAGTGATGTAGGGAGCAGGCTGATCTATGCCAGGCCTTAGTCTAGTAAATGATGAGGCCCCCTAGCCTCACCCTACAGCCAGGGCCTAGTAGAATCCCAGAGGTTGGACTCCCAGAGGGATGCAGTGGCAGGGTGGGGGCAGGTGGACCTATTTACTTTCCAAAGAAACAGGTGTTCCCAGCTAATGGCATCTGCTGTAACTCTCTAATAAGAAAACAACCTCTTCCTGGAATCAACCCTCCTCTGGCTCTCCTAAGCCAGTGCCTGTCCCTATTTGGGATCTGGGATCATGCCATCAGTACAGTGAGTGGCTGCCTACAAGCCCCTCTAAAGCAAGTTTTGAGGCCAACCATAGCTGCCACAGGGGCCTGAGCATCCAGACATTCTGTCTTCCTAAAGGGGCATAGGTGGCCTAGAAGTCTGGCTTTCCCCCCAATATAGGGGACATCTTTGCACTCAGCTCTTCCACTCCAGCCCTGAGACAGTGGAGACAATGAAGGGCCACATCTGTGTGGGGGCAAAGAGGGGATGACATAATTTTCCAGTGGTTGTGGAATCAGGGCCAGCAGAAGGGGAAGTGAGTCCTCTTCAAGTCCAGAGGCAGGGCCATTTCACTGGGCTCTGAAAGGGACCTCACCCTGGGTTCAGCTCCCAAGATATTTTTTCCCCAGCCCACTTCAGGGGCACTCCACTCCCCTGCCCCCCATTTTCTACCTGTAGAATAGAGACCAGGCTTAAGCACGAACACTGGGACGAGGTTCTTTAATAGGAGTAGGAAGGAGGAAAAATAAATAAACCTCATAAATTCAGGTGAGCAAATGATGCTGACCTTGTCTGAGCCTGAGAGGGGTGCATGCTAGGAGCTGCCTGCCCCCAGGCCTAGGAAGAGGGTGAGCCAGGTTCAGAGTGGGAGAGCACCCAAGAGGCCACTGCCCCTAGTGACTCAGCCGAGCAGGGCCGAGGCAGCTTTTCCATTTGAGCCTTCTGTCCCAGAGGGGAGGGGAGGGCCGTCCCCAGGGAGCTGTGAGGTAGTGCCAGGCTCTGCCTCAAGGAGCTGACAAGGCCAACTCAGGCCAGGTCTGATGGGGCCTGGAAGCCCGGCAGAGCTGCTAACATTGGGGCAGGAAGGTTTGGGGCTAGAGTGGAGGTTGCAGGTGGATGGGTGCAACCCTCCAGGTGAGGAAACTGACCCTAGAGTAGGGTATGGCTGGTTGCTCACTAGGAAAGGCAGAGTGGGGCCAGGATCCCACTTTCTGCCTCCCAGTCCATAGTCTTTTGCCCTCAACAAATATATGACACTTATCTAGAGATGGGGGGGTAGGAAGTCAGCTTGAGAAGACTTCTAGGCCCCAGAGAGGTCCTGCCCTGAGGGTGCCTGGGTCCTGTCTCCACCTCTGGCCTGGCTGTTGAGGAGAGGGCTGCAGCATCCAAGGCAGGCAGCCGCAGGTTCCCACAGCCTTAGAAGGCTGGGGCTCCTTTCTCCTGGTGGGGGGAGGAGGGGCAGGAATAGAACCACATCACAGAGAAGGGGCTGAACATCCTTGCTGAATGTCCAGTGGGATGGGGGCATCAGAGGCGGCTCTCTTGGGCATCTGCCTTTGCTACAAGTGGGTCCTGCTCACACAGTTCTCTGGGGGACTCGCAGGCCCTCTCAGGCTTGTCTTTGGCCTCAGAGGGGAAGCAGGTCTTGAGGCAGGACCTCACTGACTCCTTCGTCTCTGCCTCCAGACCCTTCATCCTGGCCTCGTACTCTGCCAGTGCCTCCTTCTGGAACTGTGGAGACAGCAAGGACCCCTGCCTGGCTCAGGAGGGGCCCCCTATCCACCCCTGCTCCCTGGACAGTGGCAAAAGGAGATGCCCAATATCCTTGTTCATAGCTCCCAGGAGACGGGGGTGAG